CGGGATCGAGTCCCACATCGGGCTCCCTGCTCGGCGGGGAGTCTGCTTCTCCCTCTGACCCTCCCCCTTCTCATGCTCTCTCTATCTCATTCTCTCTCTCAAATAAATAAATAAAATCTTAAAAAAAAGAAAGAATGAATGATAGTTGATTACTTTTTTATTATAAGAAAATCACTAAAAAGCATATTTCATACATGTGAGTTTTTAAATCTTATATACATACTTAAAGTCCTATAGATTGCTCCCAGAATTAACTACCAATTTAAAATTCTTTTTAATATGCTGTATGTTAATAGTTACAATACTTGAGTTGTTATAACTTCAAGAGTACCTATTTTTCTTATCCATTCAATTAGTATATCTTAATTCAGTATTTCACATTGCATTTATCATAAAACCTGCTAATCTTATATTAAATATGTCTCATAAAATGTGATTTTATTCTTTCAGGAAAAATATTCTAATAGCAGACAACCTAAGAAGAAAATTCCAAGGGATTATGCAGAATGGGATAAGTATGTTTTATATTTTGTAATACAAAATTTGTCACTGGAAAATTCTCTACCATAAAATATTGTAGTAACTTCTTAATTATTATAAATCTGAACATATCAAGACTACCAAGTTACTTTGGTAGAGTACTAAGAGTATATGGTCTAAGTAATGAAGGATAGTTGGAAGAAAGGCAGGCAGGGACAAGCCCCCCACTCCCCCTAAGTGGAAACCACCCTTAAAAGGGTTTTATACCATCCTGGAAGGAGCCCTCCACCCTTTCCCATGTGATAGATGACAAAAGCCTGATTGGCTGACAGGCGTGTGGAGGGTTAATCAGATTTAAACAGCCTACCATCCAGGCCATAAAAACCCCTAGACTTAGACACTCCAGGTTACTCCAGGTTGCAACCCTCTCGGTTCCCCTCCCTTTTCAGGAGCTTTGTACTATCGCTCAGTAAACTTTGCTTTGCTGCCCACCACTCTTCCTCTGATCTACCCCTTCATTCTTCCAAGTGGCGTCACCAAAAACTATGGGCATTGAGGGAAAAGAAATCCTGTAACATAAGCACTTTTGATCATATTTTTTCATTAAATAAATATCTACAGCATCCTTTTGTTTATAAAAGCAACCAAAAATAATTCAGGTAATCCTATGCCCATCAAAAATAAAAAAGAACAAAAACTTTAAATCGAGATAAGTTAGTTACAATTTTAATGACAAAGTTCTGAACAGTTTAGGTCTGATAAATATGGAGGTCCTCACTTGAATTGCATGGTTTCTAAGAGCAAATACAGATGACTTGTAATATGAACCTGTTACACATTTTTGGAATATGTCTCTAAAGGCACAGTGGTGTGAATATAAGACTATCACTGATAAATTTAATTTTCTTGCTTGTACATTTTTTCAGTTTTTTTCTTTCATTTAAGATTTGACGTGGAAAAGGAATGTTCAAAAATTGATGAAGATTACAAAGAAAAAGCTGTAGTAAACAAGTCACATTTGTCTAAAATTGAGACAAGAATAGACACAGCAGGTAATTGGAAAAAAATAATAATTTCGTAGTTTTTACATTTTCAAAATTGTAATAAAAGCTATCAAACTAGATGACCTTCTCTTTAAGTGCTACAGATTTCCATTGTAATTTTATGGATTTTCTCCTAGAGTTGACCACTTCTAACAAATTCAGTTGCATCCTTTTTAAACTACTTAATTTTATATGAGTAATAGTTACACTACTTAAATTTAGTAAGCCTCAAAATATAAACCTAGTGTTTTACTATTTGTTTTTCATTGTATTTTTCAAATCTTTTTTCTCCAAATCCCTCAATTTTTTTTTGCCTCAAAACAAAAAGATACAGCAGTTTGTTTTCACTGGAAGTCTGTAGGTGTATAGCACCTTTAAGGTGAAATAAAACCAATAATAAAAAAAATCTAAACCCCCCAAAATTGGGAATGATTTAAAGAAACATTTCCTAAACTTAGGAAACCTTTATTTTATTTACTTCACAATTTACTGCTGCTCTTAAAATAAGCATTCTTGGATTTAAACTTTTTAAAAATTCTCTTCAATTATATTTTTATTTATAGCAGATAACATTTACTTCTAGGTCTAACTGAGAAGGAAAAGACTTTTCTTGCTACGCATGAAAAGGAAAAAGGAAATGAAGCTTTCAACTCAGGAGACTATGAAGAGGCTGTGATGTATTATACTAGGTGAGCAGATTTTTGTTGTGGTTTATGTTGCCTGTTTTTTGTTTTTTGTTTTTTTTTTAAGTAGGCTCCACACCTAAATATGGGGCTTGAACTCAGGACCCTGATCGAGAGTTGCGTGCTCTACCAACTGTGCCAACCAGGAACCCCTTGTTGTGGTTTAAACTTGCCATTTAGGGGCGCCTGGGTGGCTCAGTCATTAAGTGTCTGCCTTCGGCTCAGGTCATGATCCCAAGGTCCTGGGATCGAGCCCTGCATCAGGCTCCCTGCTCCGCGGGAAGCCTGCTTCTCCCTCTCCCACTCCCCCTGCTTGTGTTCCCTCTCTGTCTCTCTCTCTGTCAAATAAATAAAATCTTAAAAATAAATAAACTTGCCATTTAAAAAACATGATAATGTTTATATTGTTGAAGTGATATAAATAAGCTAAAAAGTCTGTCAGAATCACTGAAGATATTATACTTATGATTTATCATAAATTCACTTGTGTTTGCCTTGTTTTTCAGTACTTTTCTCAACCCCTTAAGCTCCCTAACCCCCAGTTTGACAGAGGTCCTTTCCTATTTTCCAGAGAAAATAGAAGCCATCTGAATGGAACTCGACAGAAACTCCATAGAGCATAGAGGTTAAGAACTCCGGTTCTGCAGTTAGAGTGCCTGGATCTAATCCTAGTACTTATAATGCTACCTCCCACCACAGGGCCTTTGCATATGCTGGTCCTCTGTGTAGAAATCCTTTCCTCTTCTTACTATCTAGTTAATTCAAACTTGCCTTCAGATCTCATCCCATGCTTCACTTCTTTGGGGAAGTCTTCCTTTGCCTCCCAGACAGGGTTAAATCTCCACTCTACTCCACTCCTCCCCACCCCTGACTCCCAAGGCAATCTTGCTTCTCCTTTGTGGTACTTGTTGGAGATACAATTTAAGTTTGTGTGTTTTGATAGTAACTGGACTGTAAACTCTGTCAGAGCAGAGCACCCTTGTCAGTTTTCTTATAACTTTGTATCCCCAGTGTCCAACAAAGTACCTGGTTCATAGTAGATATTCAATAAATACTTATATGCACTTTTTTAAAATAAAGATTTTATTTATTTGAGAGAGAGAGAGAGAGCATGAGTGGATAGAGTAGCAGAGGGAGAGGGAGACTCAGACTTTTGACTCAGACTCTCCTTACCTTTGACCCTGATATCATGACCTGAGCCGAACGCAGATGCTTAACTGACTGAGCCACCCAGGCATCCACTTACATGAACTTTTGAAGCTCTTAACAGTCAATGAAAAGTAGAATAATTTCCTAAAATATTGTTACAAACTAATTGTGCTTATAGAATCCCTTATGCTATCTTAGAAATAAACTTTCTATGATCTTTTTTTCACCTTTGGAAGGAAGATTTTTTTTTTTCAATGTTGCTTCTCTAAAGAAGTTTGTCTCCACTGTTTAAGTGAACATACAAGGTAAAGAGGCTATTAATCTATTTCTCATTCAGTATTGTCTTCCCTTTTTAGGCACGTGGATGTCAGCGCTGATGTTGTTCTCTCTCTTCTTGTAGATTTCCACCAGTAGAGAATCTCTTAGTCTATTACAAGGGAACACAATTTTTCCTCTTTTAAGAAATCAGAGTGGTGAAAAATTAAAGCAGCATAGCATTAAGGGAACTCAGACTGCCACTTTCTGACACTGGGCAGATTCTTCACCTCTCTTGCCTCAGTTTCTTCAGTGTGATGAGGTTGTTATAGTGAAGTAGTTCAGAGCCGCTGTGAGAATTCAATAAAACAACACACTGAAAGGCAGGATAACATGGTGGTAGTGATAGCAGGTGCTGGAGTACACTGGGTTTGAGTCCTGCCTCCCATTTACTAGCTTGTGACCTCGGGCATGTTACTTGGCTTTTCTGTCACATCTGTTTTTTTCATCTGTAAGATAGGAAGAGCAGTAATACCTCCTTCATGGATTATAGTGAGGCTTCAATGAGCGTGGTGTTTGTGCCTGGCAGGTGGGAGGTACTCAGTGTCAGGTACTTGTATTAGTCATTTTTACTTGTATTGTCTGTCTTTGGTCTCTACCCAACCATGTGATTTCTTTATATTCATCTTTAATGATCTTAGTAAATTGCTACTTTTTGTGGCTTTTCCCTTTTCATTTTCTATTCTTATGGCTTTAGAAAATTCAGTGCACTGATACCCTTATCTTTCCTAAGCTTAGGAATACATTATTTCACAGCACTCCAAATCAACTTATTAAGCAACAACCGGGGAGGTTTTAAGTCCTTTTCATCAGTTATTTTGCTTTCATACCCTTATGTAACAAAATTTCCTCTCTTAAAGTCTGTATTCCTCAGTTACTATTACTCTCCTTTGTTTCCTTCAGTTAACTTTTTCTGATTAAATTATGATCATTTCCTCCTGGTTAAATCTACTTTTAGATTACAAACTAAACTCTTGTTTTTAGATTACAAAGTAAACTCACCATAGCAACTTAATAAAGGATATTAGTTGTGGTTGATTGCTCCATTTTTTTGTACTAGGAAATTGTCCCCAAGGAGTCAAAATAATGTATTTGATGTTAACTAAACTGGTTTTTTAGGAGATCTGTGGGTATGTAGGTTACCATTCACTTCTAAAGCCAGGGTCAACCTTAAACTGCTTACCTAAATATTCAGCATCTGTCTAAATATTGATTCAGTATGTCTATAGAACTATATTTTATTACTCTTGATGATGCAGGCTGTACTAGTTTGCTAGGGCTGCCATAACAAAGTGCCACAGGCTGAGGGGCTCAAACAACAGAAATTTATTTTCTCACTGTGTGGAGGCTGCAAATCTGAGATCAGGGCGTCGGCAGGGCTGGTGTCTTCTGAGGCCTCTCTCCTTGGCTTGTAGGTGGCTGTCTTCTCTCTGTGTCTTCAAGTGGTCTTTCTTCGGCATGTGTCTGTGTCCTAAACTCCTCTTCCTATAGGACACCAGTCATAATGGATGAGGGTACACCCTCATTACCTCAATTTAACTTAATCATCTATTTAAAGACCATCTCCAAATACAGTTATATTCTGAGATGCTGGGGGTAAGGACCTCAGCATATGAGTTTGGGGGACACAATTCCACCTATAACACAGGCCATAATTGTTTTGTTTAAAACTTTAGCTGAGTTTTTCTATCTTCTTATGTTTTCCTCTGGTCTACTTGTTGCCAATAAGTGTCTCTTTTGTAGGAGTATATCAGTGCTCCCCACAGTGGCGGCCTATAACAATCGTGCTCAAGCAGAACTCAAACTACAGAACTGGAACAGTGCTTTTCAGGATTGTGAAAAGGTCTTGGAGTTAGAACCTGGAAACTTAAAGGGTAAAAAATATTCACAAAATGCTTTAAATTTACACCAGGATTTGTTCGACAATTTGTAGACACTCACTATGATTATACTAAGACTATTTCAGATACACTCTAATTTCTGTGAATCATCACTTTCATAAAGTTACTTTTAACTTCAAGTTTAACTTGGAATTTAAATTCCTGGTTATTTGCACTGAAGTGGTTAATAATCCCAGGAGATTAAGTAAAATATGTTTTTAAAGAAATATCTCAGGCTTACATTTGAGCTGTAGTGGTTTTCTTTTTATCTTTTAATTTTTTTATTGTGGTAAAATACACATAACATAAAACTTACCATCTTTATCATTTTTCAATGTACAATTCAGTGGTAGTAAATACATTCATATTGTTGTGCAGTCGTCATTATCCTCCATTTCCAGAACTTTTTTTATCCTGCATAAGTGAAACTCTATGCCCATTAAACAATAATTCTCTACCTTCCCCTCCTGCCAGCCTCTGGCAACCACCATTCTCCTTTCTGTCTCTATGATTTTGCTATTGTAGGTATCTCATCTAAGTGGAATCCTATAATATTTATCTTTTTGTTACTGGCTTATTGAACTATCCATTTATCCAAAAAATATCTAAGTATAATTTAATATAAAATTTCTGACATTAATATAATAAGCCCATGCCAGAGCTCTAGAACCTTCTGCCAGTGGCTTTGTGGGCATTTCCACCTACATGTCCATAGACATTTTATTTATTTCTTTTTATTTGTTTATTTGAGAGAGAGAGCAAGAGAGATTGAGCACAAGCGGGGTGAGGGGCAGAGGGAAAGGCAGACTCCCTGCTGAGCAAGTGGCCCGATGCGGGACTCGATCCCAGGACCCTGAGATCATGACCTGAGCCAAAAGCAGACGCTTAACCGAGGGAGCCACCCAGGCGCCCCTCCATAGACATTTTAAATTAAATGTGCCCAAAGCTAACTATATCTTTTTACCAAAACCTGCACTGTGTTCGTATTTCCTGTCTCAGTGGCTGCACAACCTTGCTGTGGTCTAAGCCTGACTACACAAGTCAGACTCCACTTTCCTTTTCTGTTATCCAGAAGGAATCACTCCACAAGGGAGCGGCATAATTTATAATAGACCCTATTTCTTTAAATGTTATGGATTTGAGTAAATATAAACACTTAATTTTTTTCACATGGAATGTACCCTTGTGTACCCTCCTGCGCACCATGGGTGTGCAGAAGCCATGGGTGTGCTAAGGGGAGATCCTGGAGCATCAGCCCTGACTGTCATTGCCATGGATTGCCCTCCTTTTACCAGCAAAATCCTCTTTGTCTGTAGTTTGTCTCTGTCACAGAGTATGGGTGGGCTCCCAGTTTTAGGACGTGGCAAAAAAGTTTTGCGATCTTCTGATGGGCCCACGCCAACACTGTGCCAGGCCCTGTGCCAGGTACTTGGCACGTATTAACTCCACCAATTTCACAATAGGTGAGTAGAGGTGCAGATACTATTGTTAGGACACTCAGTTTACAAAAGTGGAAACTGAGGCATAGAAAGATTAAGCAATTCACCCACAATCACACAGCTAGCAAATGGCAGAGACAGGACTCAGCACTGGGCAGCGGACTCCAGAGCCCACATTCAACCACAGTGCTCATCTTCTGCCACCAGAATGACTTTATGTTTCCATTTTTCCTTGTTTGAGTAATTTCAAAAGCACCAGAATCTTCACTATTTAAAAAACAAACTGGATAGAGCCAAATCTAGTAATGAGGAGGGCCATAAAACATTAAGAAGTCTTATATTTGCTTAAATGAATAACTTCCTTTTCAAAACTTTATGTTTTACTCAAAATATAACTGTTCTAAATGCAGTGTGGTACTTCAGTTCATCCTGCAACAGAAAAAGGCATTAGTGGAAAAACTGGTGAAATGCAAGTAAAGCCTGTAATTCAGTTAATAGTATTATTCCAATGTTAATTTCTTAGTTTTGGCAAATATTCCATAGTTATGTAAGATGTTAGCATGAGGGAAAGCTGGAAGAAGGTATATGAAAACTCTCTGTATTATCTTTGCAGCTTTGCTATACAACTAAAATTATTTCAAAAATAAAAAGTTTAGGGCGCCTGGGTGACTCAGTTGGTTAAGCGACTGCCTTCGGCTCAGGTCATGATCCTGGAGTCCCTGGATCGAGTCCCGCGTCGGGCTCCCTGCTCGGTGGGGAGTCTGCTTTGTCCTCTGACCCTATCCCCTCTCATGTGTTCTCTCTCTCTCATTCTCTCTCTCAAATAAATAAATAAAATCTTTAAAAAATAAAAAAATAAAAAGTTTAAAAAATGATAACTATTATATCATGCCTACTTCTTTATGGTTGTTCCCTTCTGAGTAGTAACAGTAATAGCTAAACTTGTACTTAAAGTATAGTGTAACAGTTTTGATTAAATTTATGACAAAATGATTTATCCTGTAGATTTTTTTTTTTTTTTTTTTTTAAGATTTTTATTTATTTATTTGAGAGAGAGACTGAGAGAGAGAGAGCATGAGAGGGGGGAGGGTCGGGAGGGCCAGATCGATCCCGGGACTCCAGGATCATGACCTGAGCCGAAGGCAGTCGCTTAACCAACTGAGCCACCCAGGCGCCCTCCTGTAGATTTTCTTTTTTTTTTTCTTTTTTTTTTTAAAGATTTTATTTATTTATTTGAGAGAGAGAATGAGAGAGAGAGAGAGCACATGAGACGGGGGAGGGTCAGAGGGAGAAGCAGACTCCCTGCTGAGCAGGGAGCCCGATGCGGGACTCGATCCCGGGACTCCAGGATCATGACCTGAGCTGAAGGCAGTCGCTCAACCAACTGAGCCACCCAGGCGCCCCCTCCTGTAGATTTTCATGGCTCATTCTAAGGCTAAAATCAAGTTGGTCAAATGTATGTTTTAAAATAGCATATTAAAATATGTTGGATATAAATTTCTCACTTTTCAAAATTTCCAAGCCCCATTCTTTTCAAAATAATGTTTACTATACAAAGTTCTCTGATTATACATGGATAATGATGGGACTATAGGCATTCCTCATCAGTATTAAATAATTGTTGAATTATTTGAAATACACAGAAAATCTGATGCAGATTACCAAAGTGCTCAATTTCTGAACTGAGCCGACTTAATCATCAGGATTCTGTCAGTTCCCTGTGCGCAATACCGTCTAATCATTTTAGAGATTGCTATAGAGGCTTCCTTCACTAATGGCTCATATTATGAGCCATCTGCTGGTCAGCAATATACTAAATTTGAATAAAGGATTTTCTCAATTTTCATAAAGGGGCAAAATACTACTAGTGATGATTATCAAGGGGAAAGTGTTAATGCTCCATGTCCAGCTTCCCAGTAGAGCTGTACAGTGTGGTGCCTCGAGGGTATGTATGGCCTCTCAGCGCTGACAGGGGCTGGCGGAGCCTGGGGCTGCTCGAGGACCGGGCTGCTGGAAGGGACTGGTGCCCGAGGCAGCCTCTTTGTTTACCCCAGTATCATTTTCTACATGTGCAACAATATGAAAATGGGTGTAATTAAGCTTTGCCCAATTGCACACTAAACTGTTCTGTGCTATTTGTATTCTTCCACTTGAAAAATAGGTTCTAACCATGATACCACACATTAAAAAATATAACTTTTTTTTTTTTTTTTTTAATAAATTTTCAGCCCTTCTGCGCCGTGCCACTACATATAAACATCAAAACAAGCTCCGGGAAGCTCTAGAAGATTTGAATGAAGTACTGAATGTTGAACCTGATAATGAGTTGGCCAGAGTAAGTACAGAAAGTGATACCTCACTTACCTCTATAGTTTTTTTATTTTTATTTTTAAAAAGATTTTATTTGAGAGAGTGAGCAAGTGAGAGAGACAGCACAGGGGCAGGGACAGAACGAGAGGGAGAAGCAGGCTTCCCATTGAGCAGGGAGCCCGATGCAGGACTCAATCCCAGGACCCTGGGACCATGACCTGAGCTGAAGGCAGATGCTTAATGGACTGAGCCACCCAGGCGCCCAGTTAGCATTTCTGTATTTATGTTAAAATAACATCAATCTTGTTGGATGAATGATGTTGAGAATTAGGTCACAGCTTTAAAAACTAGGTATATCCCGGGGCGCCTGGGTGGCTCAGATGGTTAAGCGTCTGCCTTTGGCTCAGGTCATGATCCTGGGGTCCTGGGATCAAGCCCCGCATTGGGCTCCTGGCTCAGCGGGGAGCCTGCTTCTCCCTCTCCCTCTGCCTCTCTCCCTGCTCATGCTCTCTCTCTCTCTCTATCTCTGTGTCTCAAATGAATAAATAAAATCTTTAAAAAAAAAAATTAGGTATATCCCAAAAGAAAAAAAAAAAAAACAACTAGGTATATCCCAGATGCCCCAAAGTGTTAATATCTATTTGAAGTGGAAGAAAACAGGCTCTGAAAATGTCCAAAACTATAAACCTACTTTTGAAGGACAAATATTTATTTATTTAGATAGGTAACATTGTTTATAAGGTGTACTTGTGTTGATTCAATACATTTATATATTGCGGTAGGATCACCACCTTTGCTTCAGCTAACACCTCTGTCACATCCCATAATTATTTCTTTTTTGTGGTAAGAACAATTAAGATCTTGTCTCTTAGCAACTTTGAAGTTTAGAATATGGTATTGCTGACTCTAATCTCTATGCTGTGCTTTAGCTCTCCAGGACTTATTTATCTATAATTGCAAGTTTGTGCCCTTAAGCAACATCTCCCAGTGCCGTACCTCCCCAGCTCCTGGTAATAATCATTCCACTTTCTGTTTTTTGTTGTTTGCTTTTTTTTTTTTAAGATTTTATTTATTTATTGACAGAGAGAGACATAGTGAGAGAGGGAGCACAAGCAGGGGGAGTGGGAGAGGGAGAAGCAGGCCTCCCGCTAAGCAGGGAGCCCGATGCGGGGCTCGATCCCAGGACCCTGGGACCATGACCTGAGCCGAAGGCAGACGCTCAACCGACTGAGCCACCCAGGCGCCCCTCCACTTTCTGTTTTTATGAGTTTGGCTTTTTTAGATTTCACATATAAGTGATATCATACAATAAGAATATTTGATTTTTCTCTTTCCTGCAGTGTTGTAGGCAATGCTTTTCTCTGAGCCAATCTCAATTTATTATGCAGAGTGGTATAGAAGTTTCCTAGGTAGGATTAGACACACACTCCATGGCCACAGAAGAGTGCATGGTAAGCATGGCACCACCGACAGCATTCGCTGCCTGACTGAGCAGACTGACTGAGGTTTGCACCCCGGGGGCTGTTTGGAGGCCTAATGAGTAGAGGTAAGTGTAGAGAACTGTGAGATTTTACCCTACTGGCAAATTAACAAGGTGGCCTAGCAGAAGACACAAAGGACTCTGTTATTCACACTACAGCAAACTGATGAGCTTCAAGTTCATCAGCTCCCCTGGCCCCCAAATCCCATGGGGGTGGTGCAGAGTGGCCCAGATAGAGCTGCACAGTCATTGCGTTTGTATCACAGGTGAGGAATCCCAAACTTAGGAAAACCCTCGTTTTTTATAATGGGATACAATTAAACCTGCCCAAAATTCTGTCGTGGAGGGAAACATCTTTATTTTACTGGAAAGCAAACATACCTGCTCTCTTCTCTGAAGAGAAATACTCTCTCTGTTTTCTAAGGCTGTTCTCAGTAACAGACATCCTGGAAAAGATAGTCCAGAACAACTGTTATTTATGCCACTACTCACAACATATTTAGAAATGTGAGAAGTCCATGGAGAACTGTCTTCCAGCAGTAAGTTGTCACTGTTTCTACACGCACCTGTAGGGTTATCTGTCTCACTCTCTCTCAGTGGCAGCTGATGTCCCTAGTGTATTTGTCAAGTTAGCATTTCAGTGGATTAGGTTTAGGGCCCGGCTGAAGAACACATCTTTTTCCCATAGTACTTTCATTTTATAGGGGTATATTTATTGAAAAGTTATCATGACAATATTCTAAAAAAAATCTGAAACAAGGAAAACCACCTTTAATGTCACTACCCAATACAATTTCATGTTTACATATTAACTTTCAGGCCTTAACCATTTATATCTTAACCATATGCAAAGATTAACTCAAAATGGATCATATACCTCAGTGTAAAACCTAGAATATAAGAGTTCTAGAAGGACACATAGGATAGAATCTTTATGACCTTGGATTAGACAAATCTTCCTTAGATATGACATAATGGCACAATCCATAAAAGGAAAAGTTGGTAATTTGGACTTCAGAATTTAAAAGTTTTGCTCTTTGAAAGACACTACCAGAAATAAAAAAAAGACAAGTCACAGACTGGGAAAAAATATTTGCAAATTGTGTATCCAACAAAGGACTTGTATCACGAATATACACATGGTCCCCAACTTACAACGGCTTGACTTAACAATTTTTTGACTTTATGATGGTGCAAAAGTGATAGGTATTCAGTAGAAACTGTACTTTGAATTTTCATTTTTTTCTGGACTAGCAATATGCTGGGAAGGGGCAGTGAGCCACGGATCCCAGTCAGCCATGAGCTCACAGGGGTTAACCAATATAGTCATAACCATTCTGTGCCCATGCAACCATTGTGTTGTTCACTTTCAGTACAGTAGTCAATAAATTACATGAGATATTCATCACTTTATTATAGAATAGGCTTTGTGTTAGAGGATTTTGCCCAACCATAAGCTAATATAAGCGTTCTGAGCACGGTTAAGGGAGGCTAGGCTAAGTAAGCTATGATGTTTGGTAGGGTAGGTGTTGTAAATGCATTTTCAACTTAAAATGGGGTTGTTAGGACATAACCCCATTGTAAGTTGATGAGGATCTGTAAGAACTGCAAAGAACTCTTAAAACCCAATAATAAGAAAACAAACAGGCAAATAAAAAATAAGCAAAATGTTTGACTGTCAGACTCCACCAAAAGAGATCTGTGAATGGAAAATAAGCATTTGGAAAGATGCTTAAGATCATTAGTTACTAGGGAAATTTAAATTAAAATCACAATACTGGGCGCCTGAGTGGCTCAGTTAGTTAAGCCTCCACCTTTGGCTTAGGTCATGATCCCTGGGCTCCTGGGATCCAGCTCCTGGTTGGGCTCCCTCTCTCACGCGCTTTCTCTCAAATAAATAAATAAAATCTTTTAAAAAAAAATGGGAAGAAACTTTTGGGAATGATGGATATATTTATTATGTCAAAACCTATCAACGTGCATTTTAAGCATGTGACTTTGTCAACTATACCTCCGTAAGCTGTTAAAAATGGGCAATCGGGGGGAAGGAAAATGTTTTGATATATTTTTTTTTTCATTCTCATTGGCATAAAACATAGAACTTTCAACATTAAAAAAAGCATGTGTCATATGATTTTATTTGTATAACACTCTGTGTGTACATATGTGTAGAAACATATCTAGGAATGTCAGAATGTCATTGTTACAGAGTGGCAGGATTTCAGATTATTTCTTTCTTTCTTTTCACGATCATTATGCTTTAACGGACATGTATGTTATAATCAGACAAAGCAATGAAGTTGTTTGAAAAAGAAAAACAAGATCACCATAAAAAGTGTTGTCCTATGTACCTTTATGCACTTTTTTTTAAGATTTTATTTATTTATTTGACAGAGAAGGAACACAAGCAGGGGGAGTGTGGGAGAGGGAGAAGCAGGCTTCCCACCGAGCAGGGAGCCCGATGAGGGGCTCGATCCCAGGACCCTGAGATCATGACCTGAGCCGAAGGCAGACACTTAACAACTGAGCCACCCAGGCGCCCCTCTTTATCCACTTTTTAGTATCTTCATATTCCTACCTGACAGAATGGTTATATTTTTAATTAAAGGAAAACGTTTTCTTTAACATGGTGATTATGTTGCAGAAGACCTTGTCCGAGGTTGAGAGAGATCTGAAAAATTCTGAAGCTGCATCTAAGACTCAAGCCAAAGGAAAGAGGATGGTTATCCAGGAAGTAGAAAACTCGGAGGACGAAGGTGGAAAGGACAGCAGAAGAGCACAGGAAGACGGGAGTGGAGATAAGAGTAAGACATCTTTCCTCTTTTGGTTATGCAAAAACCTCCCTTTTTATATGATGAGCTGGCTCAAATTTTCTATTTCTACCAAAATTCTTAGTCCACCAAACTTTTTCCAGCTCTACCATGTAAATCCATAAACAAGTTGTCTTTTTTCTTTTTTTTAGAGAAGGGGAGAGGCAGGGGGAGGGGCGGAGGGAGAGGGAGAGAGAGAATCAAGACCAGCAGCTGAGCCCAACGTTGGGCTCCATCTCATGACCCTGAGCCGGAATCAAGAGTCAAACACTTAACTGAGCCACCCAGGCGCCCCAGGTTTTTTCTTAATGTTTTTCTTACTATAATCTCCTAAACCCATTTTTCTTCTTAACCTGGCACCTTTCTCTAGTGTTCAACTCAATTCCTGATTATCATGGTATATTGACATTATTGATAATTTGTAGGTTAACCTTAAATCCCTCTCCAAGATGATTGTTTTGTATACAGCTACTTGGTTTTAAACCAAATGTTTTGACTTCACAGGGATGAATGCATTGTTGGGAAATTGCTATATAAGTCTCTCAAAAATTTTTTTAAATATGTGAAAGAAATAGATATAATTTCACTTCTGATATAATTTTTTTAACAGAATCTAGACTAGATAAAGCTTCATCTTCATAATATGTAACAATGACAGTTACATCAGCTTTAAGGGGGAGGATGCGCCTACTCCCTTAACAAGGGTGGGAAGTGTGTCTTTACCCCTTTTCTGAGAGCCCCTGAACAACCAAAGGGAAAGTAACAGTTTTGAAAATTATTCATAGGCAAAAATTAACTTGTAAGCAATCTGACAGAATATTTTAATTTTGAGAGAGAAATATAAAATATTCAGTGCATTCAACTTAAAAAAGTAAAGAAGTAAAAGTTTTAATTTTTTTAGTGACAGAAATATAAATAAATACGTAAAATATACAGCTCAAGACAGAACATCAGTGAAATCAGGGTAAAGACAAAGGGACAAAAAAGAAGGGAGGAAGAGAGAAAAGGAAACAGTAGGGCCACCAGGGAGATGGGAAAGGAAGAGAGGGCATTAAAAGGATGAAAAAGGGAGAAGTTAAAGTAAATAGTTTTTCAAGGATTGAGACTTACCTTTCAGACAGATTTTAAATAAATTCTGGCAGCAAATATTGTTCTAAGGGTTTATATTTAAGATATCAAGCCAAGTATCTTAAAATTAAAGGAAATCATTTAATATCTTACCTGGAACAAGATATAGTATAAACTAGATCAGTTGATCCTATTTGTAAATTATTATTTAAATATTTACATATAGTAAAAGTGGACTTTTTTGGTATGCAGTTCTATCTAACAGGTGTATAAAATCACGTGACAGGATACAGAACAATTCCATCATGCCAAAGACTCTTGCTGTCCTTTTGGCCAAATTCTTCCCTCACCTCAAACCTTGGTAACCATTGGTCTGCCATAAATTCTTCAAATTTTGGGGGTTGGGGGAAAACACAGTTTCTCCTCTCCCACAGGGACTGTTACGACAATTGTTAGGTCACTTAGTGTTGTCCCACAAGTCCTTGAGGCTTTCTTCTTTTTTTCTCACTCTCTCTGTTATTAAAATTGAAAAGTTTCTATTGATCTATATTCAAGTTCACTGATTTTTTTATTCCTGATCCCAAATGTACTGTTGCTCCCATTCGGTGAATTTTAAATTTTGGTTATTGTGTTTTTCCATTCTAAAATTTCATCTTAGTTCTGGTTGTTTTTTGTTTTGTTTTGTTTGTTTGTTTGTTTGATCTTCCACTTCTCTGCAAACTTTTTAAATCTTTCCATTTCGGGAGTGTTTGCCTTTATTTCTTGGAGCATGGTTATAATAGTCACTTAAAGTCTTTGAGAATTCACATCTATGTTATCTGGGGTTTGGTATTACTTAATCATCTTTTCCCTTGCCAAATGTGGAGATTTTCTTTCTTCCTCGTTTGTTAAGTAGTTTTGTACTGTATACTAGCAACTTTAAATATTATGATTTGCGATTTTCAGTCTTATTTAAATCTTACAGAGAATTTTTTTTAAGCAGTTAATCAGTCTGGTTAGGTTTGGGTAACAGTTTTCCTGCCTGATTTCTGTGGACTATGGTTCTAATGTCAGTTTAGTTTCAGAACCTTTGCAATGCTATTTGGATCTGTCCCACCTGTACACCACTCAGTGACCAGCCATTGTCTGGGCAGTGGTCTTCCCCCATAATTCATTTCTCAAAACTTTTAGTATGCTGTTTAGGATCACATTATGTATGATGTGAGCCCAGGTCATGTGCAATTGTTTTCTTGAGCTCCCCCTTCTCTGTGATTCTTTCCTGCTCTTTCTGGCACCCAGAGGTTTTCCTTCCTATTCCTCTAGTTAGAAAGGCAGACTTAATTACCCCTTTCTACCACACACTTCCCATGACCCTCTGCCTCCAGGACCGAGCAGCAAGAGGACAGAGAAGAACAGCAATGGGAACATTCTTGGAACCACAATTTCTCTGACCAGAGATAAGAGTTCCTCTCCCTCAAAATCTTACGTACCTGTTGGCTGTTACTGCCACTGCAGCGGATGTAGGATTGCCTGGGGGTTGGGATCGGACAGAAAGGAAAAACAAAACAAACAAAAAAGAAACCAAGATTTTGGCACCAGCTCCGGATTTTGGACAGCCTTTGACCCAGGTTAGGAGATGACAGAGGAAAGAAAAATGAGAAGCTCACTGCTGGTCTGGTGGCTTTTCAGGTTCTAGGCCCTTTTCCCAGCTGGCCTGCTACCATTTATTTTTCAGTGTCCTCCTTTGGCTACTCCATCAATTCTGTCTCAGGTTTTTAGTTGTATTTAGGGGGAGAGATGGGTAGAGTGTGTTTATTCCATCTTGACAGAACTGCCTTTCAGATTACTATTTTTTTGAAGGATTAGCACATTTGAAGAACTATAAAAGTTGCTTATTTAGGTTATTTTATTTAATCCTCAAGGGAGCTATAACCCACACTTTTATAGATTAGGCAATGGAAGCCTAGAAAGGCTTAGTTATTTGCCACATTTGCATGGGCTGTAAATCACAGGGCTAGGACATGGCCCTAAACCTGTGTGACTCCAATGTCTATCTCATAAAAGTGGTTAGTGGATGCCAACTAAGAAAGTACAGGTTCTATAAAATCCAGACTGAACATCACCAGGCTACCTTGTCAAAGAAACAGATGTAATTTGGTGTTTATCTCCCTCGTGCTTACTGATGTTGTACCAAAACTCTTATCAGAAGCTGAACCTATGCTGAAGAGCAAGTGAGTTAAAGACTAATGTGATAATTTTTGATTAAAAAAAAGGAGCATAGGAACTGAATAGACATTTTTCCAAAGAAGACATTCACATGGCCCATGGGTATAGGAAAAAGATGCTCACATCACTAATCATCAGGAAAACGCAAATCAAAACCACAATGAATCACAGACCTGTACCTCTGAAACAAATAATACATTATATATTAAAAAAAAAAAAAAGATAGTATGAAGGGAAGAATGAAGGGGGGGAATCGGAGGGGGAGATGAACCATGAGAGATGATGGACTCTGAAAAACAAACTGAGGGTTCTAGAGGGAGGGGGGTGGGCGGATGGGTTAGCCTTGGTGATGGGTATTAAAGAGGGCATGTTCTGCATGGAGCACTGGGTGCTATACACAAACAATGAATCATGGAACACTACATCAAAAAAAAAAATAAATAGGGAAAAAAAAGAAATATCATAAAACATAAACAGAAAAGCATACATAGAAGAGCACGGATGTAGAAAAGGGGTTGAAGAAAATGTGGAAATTAAAGAATGTTAGTTAAGTCTAAAAAAAAAAAACCACAATGAGATATCACCTCAAATGTGTTTGAATGGCTGTCATCAAAGAGACGAGAGATAACAAGTGTTGGTGAGGATGTGGAGAAAAGGGGACCCCGTGTACTGTTGGTGGGAATGCGAACTAATGCAGCCACTATGAACAACACTCTAGAGGTTCCTCAAAAGATTAAAAATAGAGCTACAATCTGGTCCAGCCATCCCATTTCTGGTTATATGTCCAAAAGAAATGAAACCACTATCTTAAAGAGATATCTGCACCCCTATGTTCATGTCAGCATTCTCAATAGCCAAGACATGGTAATGTTGCAGTATTTCTTTTCCCTCAGTGCCCGCGGTTCTTGGTCATGCCACTTTGAAGTATGAAGAGGTAGACCAGACAGAGCGGTGGGCAGCAAAGCAAGGTTTATTGAGAGATAGTACAAAGCTCCTGAAGAAGGAGGGGATCTGAGAGGGTTGCCACCAGAGTTTCTAAGTCTAGGGGTTTTTACAGGCTTGCTGGTGGGCTATATTAATCTGATTAACCCTCCACACCTGTCATCCAATCAGGCTTTTGTCATCTATCTATCACGTGGGAGAGGGCTCCTTCCAGGGTGGTGTAAAATCCTTTCAAGGGTGGTTTCCTCTTGGGGGGTGGGGAGGGCCCTTGTCCCTGCCTTCCTTTCTTCCAACTATCCTTCATCAATAACAACCTAAAGTGTCCTTCAGTAGATAAATGGATAAAGAAAATGTGAGACACACACTCATTTAAACACTAGAATATTACTAGGCCACAAAAAAGAAGGAAATCTGCCATTAGCAAAAGCACAGGTGGACCTTTAAGACATTATGCTAAGTGAAATAAGTCAGACAGAGAAAGATGAATACTGTGTGATCTCACTTATGTGTAGAATCTAAAAAAAAGCCAAACTTGTAGAAATAGAGAGTAGAACAGTGGTTGCCAGAGGTGGAGGTTTTTGGGATAAGTTGGTCAAAGAGTACAAACTTCCACCTGTAAGTTTGGGGGAGGTAATGTACAGCATGGTGACTATGGTTAACAATATGATATTATATACTTGAAAGTTGCTAAGAAAGTAGATCTTAAATGTTCTCACTATAAAAAAAAAAGGTTATGTGAGGTGATGGATGTGTTAAGTAACCTTACTGTGGTAATAATTTTGCAATATATATCTATATCAAATCACGTTGTATACTTTAAACGTATACAATGTTATATGTCAATTATATCTCAATAAAGCTGGGGAGGGATTGGAGATACTAAAAGCCCCTCCTCCTA